TTATTGTTGTCATCACATTGACAACATTGTTATTTCTATTTGTGTCATCGTCTGTGAATTCTTTTCGTCGATCATAAGTATCTGTTTTTAATGAAAGAAGCATTAAAACATATAAGTAAATTATTTAGAGTTATGATTTCCCATACGAAATTAAATTAGAAAATGTTTTCAAACGGAATTTAATGCAAAACGATTTGGAGGCAATTGTTGCCCTTTAAACATGTAGATGAGAGAATTGCTCTCATTTATCCATGCTTTTTCTTATTGGTCGGGTTAACATAAGTTGATTAACAGTGTTGGCTAAAAAATGTTAAACAATTTCTGGCGGAAATAAACATTTACATTTATCGTTGTTGGATCTGTTCGTTATATATTTTTTTCTCATTAATTAAACTTTGTTATTCATCTTAAGTAATCAATCATATTTTGAAGTTTTCTAGCACGCATTGTATATGTCAAACGTAAATACTCAAATGTGCAATTCTCTTAAATGAAAATGAAATAAAGTGTTTGCAATTGAAATATTGCAAAATTTGTTGTCTACATTGCTAGAAGAAGAAGGCAATTTCATTGAAAGAAAGCTATAAAACACATTTTTAAAATACATAAATTGCAAGTACTTTTATTTCATTTTCTTTTAAGAAAAATTACTCTTTTAAGTATATAAGTTTAATCAACAAAATATTCAACAACTCTAAAACGCAATTGTTAATTTAAGATGAACAACAAATTGTAATTAAAAAGAAGCATATATTTAACCGACCTAACAACCATAAATGTTAATGTTCATTTCCGCCAAAAAATGTTTAACATTTTTAGCCAACACTGTTATTCGGCTTATGTTAAACAGAGCAGTGAGAACAAGAACTAAGTGAGAGCAATTCCCTCAACTACATGTTAAGCGGGCAAAAATTCCCTTCCAATCTTTTTGCATTACATTTCGTTTGAAAACATTTTTTCCGCATTTATTTAATATCGTATATTGAAAATTTACATATATTTTTTAACACTTCTTTCATTAAATACCGACATTTATGTTCGACAAAGAGAATTCACATTCGACCGTCTTTTCAAGTGGGAGAGGAAACAAATGGGAATAACAATGTTGTCAATGTGATGACAACAATAAAAAGTAAAAAACGCCAAAAGTCCACTGCCTTTTAAAAGCGAGGAAAATTGAATACAGATCAATTTTTATAAGTCTAATATGGCATAATAATATAAGGTAACAGCGATTGTTGTTGTACAACAATTTGAAATTATTTTTGCTTTAAACATTTTAAACGTTTTTAAAATCGCTTAAACCACAGAACACTGAATTTTCGAATATACCGTTATATGGAGGCTATAGGAAAACGATTTTTTAAAATAAGGAATTCTGAGACTGAGTTTTAAACAGTTCCCTTAGGAAATGAGGCTTAAATAACAAATAATGAAAATATACAAAACTACAACTAAAATGTTACCTCTAGCTAATTACCTTCGAAAGAGAGAGAGAATATAATAAACGGGCGGTCATCGCCAGATCGCCTTAGAGTTTTTTATTATGAAAAGTATATAGACTGTACAGGGTGAGATGAAAAAACTGCAACAAAATCCAGACTGCTGTTATTTCTAAGCCACTCATCCGACAGCTGCTAAAATTATTCCAGAGACATCTCATTATATTGTTTACAAGCTTACAAGAGTAATTTTGGTGAGAATTTTCCAGAAAACAAGCTATTCGTGATGGAATTCAAGCGTGATAGTGTGATTTCTTTATATTTCGCTGAAAAATCACAAATGGCTATCGTTAGAGCACTCCAGCATTTAAATGTGAATAAATCTTTTGTCTCGTACCATCGCTCGTTTCTGTGATACTGATAGCGCAGCCCGACGTCAAGGAAGTGGACGGAAGAAAACAGCAACATCAGCAGAAATGGTTCGAAAAGTAAAGAAGCGACTTGATCGAAACCCGCGTCGCAGTGGCCGAAAAATGCCTCGTGAGCTGAACATATCGCAATATTCCATTCGGCAAATATTGGAAAATGAGCTCGGGGTAAAGCCATTGAAATTCCAAAAAGCGCAAGAACTTAAACCGCAACCGAAAGAAAATAGACTCAAAAGAGCTAAAGAGTTGCTTCGCTTGGACAAATGTGGTGAGCTGTCGAATTTGGTTTTCTCCGTCTCCGATGAGAAAACATTCGTTGTCCAGCAGTTTGTAAACAAACAAAATTATCGTGTTTACTTGCCAAAGATGTCAGCTGAAAAGATGCACCTTCGGTTAGCCACCAGAACACAAACCATGGTGATGGTGTGGGCCGCCATGAGAGCCGATGGTCGCTCTCCGCTCGTATTAATCGACCGTGGCATCAGAATAAATACCGAATATTATCGCGAAAATATTCTGGAGGGTGTATCAAAGCCTTGGGCACGCAAACATTTTTGCCGCAGACCTTGGACTTTCCAACAGGACTCAGCACCATCGCACTCAGCACGCGCCACCCAAGAATGCTTACAAAATATGCTTTCTCGCTTCATTTCCAACGCACACCACCAAAATCTCCGGATACCAATCCGTTGGACTATTGTGTCTGGAGAATTTTGGAAAGCAAGGTTGGCACTAAAAAATACCAAACTGTTGATCACCTCAAGCAAGCGTTTTGCCGGGAATGGGCCAGAATACCGCAGAGCAATATTCGGGCAACGTGTGACGGTTTCATTGGCCGTTTGAAGGCCATAATTCGTGATAAAGGTAACCAATTCAAACAAAACTAAACTTATTCTGAAATTTGATTCTATTTCCGAAATTTTTTGTTTTCATTCAAGAAAAAAAAATGATGACGTTTGCAGTTTTTTTTATCTCTCCCTGTATAGGTTTGAAAATTATAACTCTTAAAACAAATGGAATAAAATATCCTCGTTAAACATTAATTTGCATTTAACTCCCGTGCTTTAAAAACATTTTCCTTGTTTTAGCGATTTTAAATTATTGCAATTTTCACCAAATTGGCAACATTGTTATTCTTATTTACTCCTTTTTTCAGTTTCACGTCTTTTTTAAAGACGGTCGGTCGTGAATAATTTTTGTTAGAAGCAAATGTAGAAATTTAATTAGAAAGACATTTTAAAATTACACAAAAATGATCAAAAAGATTAATATTTAATATACGAAGTGAAAAAATTGTGCAAGAAAGTGTTATCAATCGAAATTCAATGCAAAAAGATTGCATTGCATTTGTTGCCCATTAAACAAGAAGCTGAGAGAATTGCTCTGATTTGCTCTCTGTAATCAAAACTCCTTATTCATCTTTGCTTCTGTGGTCAGTTATCAATCGTGTTTTAAAGTTGTCGGTCGCAAATTGTGCAAGCTAAACGTGAATGCTTAAGATCAATGAAATATTTGCAAGAAAAAAACCCAAAAAAGTTAGAATAGTGCAGTTTTCATAAGGAAAAAGTGAAGTACAAGTAATTGCTATTGGATTATTGCATAAAAAGGCATTCTTTATTTTCCAATACAAATGGCGTCCGCGTAAGTAACAAAATGCTCGTATGTTTGCCGGTCGGTTTTATAGAAGCTTGTTAACAGTGATCGGATGTTTAAGTCGTGAATTGTCGGGATATGTACAATAACATTTTTTTCGTGTCGTGTCGTTCGTCGCTATCTGTTTACTCTGTTATGGCAATACTGTTGCTCCCATTTCCGTCTGTACTCAGTTATCAATTGAGTTTAAAGATGGTCGGTCGTGAATTTTGTTCGTTAAAAGAAATTGTTGAATTTTAAGTAAATTTTTATTGGAGAAATATACAAAAAGCATAAATAAGTCAATTTTCAAATACACCTAATGAAAAAAGAAAAATTAAGTGTGATTTCAAAGAAAATTAATATGAAACAGTATTGTCTCCTTGCATTGCAATTGTTGTTATTTTAATAAAGCTTTTCGATTACACATACATAAACGGGTTAACAGTGATCGGGTGTTCTTTGTGTGTTGTCGCGATTTTTGTCAGAAGTAAACGAAGTTTTGGCGGGAAATGTATATTAACATTGTGCTCTCTGCAATGCCCATGACTTTTAGTTATTTAAAGAGAATAAAGTCGTAAAGGTTTTGCTCGACCAAATTCTTTAAAAGAGAAATAAAATAAAAAAATCAAGAAGTGTCATTAATACAAAATGAAAAATAAATCAATTTTCTGTAAAAAATTAAAAAAATAATATTGCTTCCTACGTGAAAATATTCGAATAATTCTTGTGTCGTTAAGAACGGGACGATCGGTTGTTTTCGTGCAAATAAAATAATATAAGAATCGGGAAATTTTATATGAAATACGTTGAAGAAAATTAAGTGTCCAATAAGAATACTAAAAAAGCTATTTTTTTGTGAGGGGTAATATTGGTGTGATTTCAGTCGTTATTGATTGTACGGGGTTACAGCGCGCTTATAATAATATAAAGCTTAAAATATTTCTTAAAAATAAAGTGTTTTTAATTGTAACGTCGTACAAGAAAATCTTTTCGCTAATATTGTGATACAAATGTTGTAATTTCCTTGCATACTTAAGAACATTTCATCATGAATGTATTTATAGACGGTTTAATATTCATCGCAAGGTTTTTAATATTTATATATAATATATATAATATAATATTTATAACTGTTTTAATAAAATTTGCAATTTTCATCTGGTATTATTCTTAATGGAAATTTTCGGCAGTTTTTGACATATGCATTTTGCAAAGGTACGTACATATTTTTTGGAATACTATACAAAATAAAAAAATAAATAAACATTATTGTTTCAATACAAGCTATAAAATTAGAAAAAAATCCATAATGTTGAGTATTTTTATATTTGGTGAGGGGTTACTTTTCGTTTTTGTGTTTTTAACGCAACTCAAACGAATGCAAAAATTTATTTTAATATGGCAATGCCTTAAATTTCTACTAACGGCCCATTCACAATTATGGTCACCATTCACAATAGAGGCACAGCTGTTGCCAATTATCCACCAAAAATCAGTTGTTCATTTATCGATAACTGTTACGACACCGAGTTTTGGCACACCAAACGAAAAAACCAAGAAATTATTGTTTCTTCCTGGGATTCTGGCATAGATTTCTCCAACAACGATGATCAGCAGCAGGCTACAACCTTTGTGCAAACCACTTTTGCAACACTTGGTGCGTAATGCCGTGAAGGGTATGGCTCCAACCACAGTTCGTCAGAGCCATGTAGTCTCATATCGTGTTGCTCCACCACCACACTCGAAGGCTACTCGCATCGGTGCTGAAATGGTCGGCGCCGCTATGTGGTGGTGGGTCTTGTGGCATTTGTATCATGAACACGAACATGTCACCGGTGAATTCCCCTATCCCGATCCATCCCAGTGGACAAACAAGGAACTCGGCATCCCATCAAACTAAAGTCAGGAGTGGTGGAGATCGGCGAACATGTGTTAGTTAAATATGTTGAAATTATCCTGGAAAGCAAGATTCTGTGGGAAGTTAAATAATTTAATAAATTGTGTAATGTAAATAAAAATGTGTTGTTTGTTTTTTCCTCGGCCAATGTGTTGATGATGTGGGTGAAAATATGTTGTGGAATTCACCCTTATGTACAATAGAGATGGGGGCAGTTCACATACCACACATGGACTGGTTTCTGGCGTATGGAAAACTAAAGATGATGACCACACTACTACCCATCTGATCGGCTTAGAAGTTTGACTGCATCCGCCTGTCAACAGAAAAATTAAAAAATTGACTGTTTTAATTAAAGTTTTTGTACCATTCTAAGGGCCGCTTCTATTTTGTTGGATTTTGAAAAGAGTATTCCACTCTGAGCTGCTTTGTGTTCTGATTGAATTTCTTAAAAACTTTGACCCAAAGGAAGGATTGCTACAGTCATATATATCGCACCGATACACCAGATATATTATTGAGAAGGAATATTGAGAAAATTGGTCTCTAATGGCCATAAATGAACCAAAATGGATACTTTAAAAAGAAGGACCGTCATATTATTACAGATGGTACATATCAATTGGATTGGCCAAAATGTGTTTTATCGAAAAAATGGGACCCCCAGGTCAGTAGACAAAATTCGTTAGAGGACATTTGGAATCGATGTAGCTGTGTTTATCCGTCTTTTTGTATGTACTGCTGAAGGGTCCGATAGGTCTAGAAGAAAGTATCGAATTTTCATCATCGTAATATTTCTAACTTTGATCGAGTTCGGAGATTGAAAAAATCGGCCATCTTTTCCATTTCCCACAAAAGGTCAAAATTTTAATAGAGGATAATTTAACTCATAAAAAGCAAAGAGAGGATTTAATTCAGCCTAAGGTCACATGTTAAACAACTAAAATACTCATAAAAACCTCCAATGTCAATTCTCTTCTTCTGACATCTCTTCATCGGAAGCTTAAAACTTTGTTTAAAAATTACATAAAATTTGAAATATATGTCCGATTTTCTGTATGAGTATTAAATCAAATTTAAAAATGGAAAATATAGGTCTGTTCAAAGGCCAAGGGTAACATCTGTCGGTAAAACCGCTTAATATATTCCAACATTTTTTTTTTTTTTTGTGACCGAGTACCAATAGAATATTATTTTCTCCATAAGGTTGGACCTCTGTTTTAGGGAAATTAGATTAAATAACGTCAACCCGACTTGCACACTATGTCTATGCGGATGAAATGCGTTGGATGAATATCGGGTTTTGTATAAACTTTGTATCAACATCAGAAATGTCATAAACTAATTCTTCAAACATTTCGAAATATAAGAAATCTCTGACTTAAATCGTGTAATATTTTAAAATCTGAAATTTTTAGTTTGGAGTGGCATTGATTTATTATATCCTAGCAAATGCCCTATTACATCGTTAGCAAAAAGTTTACCTTAAAACTTTAGATTCATTCTCCAGTTCGTGTTTGGTCTTTTAAGTGCTCAAAATACACAATTTGTTCAGTTTGATAACATTTTCAAAACTTCATATATCGTACTAAATTTTCAGACCTTAAGGTTTTCATATATTATTTAAGTTTTTCCTTTTTCGCAAAGAATAATAGAAAAATGTTTATCTTTTACACCAAAATGTCTTCTATTTTTTAATTTTGAGGTTTACAGAAGAGGATGTTATTAAAACCATTGCATAATGTACCAACATCCAATTTATCTGTCCAAAACTATTTTAACGTCTCCATATATGTACTCTGGAAACCAGCAGTAACCTCAATATAAAATTTCAGTATTGCAGATCTATCCTATCACCAAAAATATCAAATTTCGTAGCATTTAGTACGCATATTCGAAATAATCTGCATCTGTCATTCCAAAGATCCCACAAGAGGTATCTGTATTTCATTTTTTCAGCTCAATTCCTTTACCCAATACCCAAATTTTGGACTAATTAATACTTTTTGTACAATAACAGTACATATTTTCAAACCCACTTCCATATCTCAATTTCAAATACCAATAGATCCCTCAATATCAAATTTGAAGATTCAATTGCATTTAGCACTTTTCGTACAAATTTAGTATTTTTAGTTGAATTATAGTACGTATTTCAAAAACAGCCTCCATATCTCAATTCCAGACAACAATAGAGACCTCAATATCAAATTTGAAGATTCCATCCCTATTCCTACACACGGTACCAAATTTAGTACCATTTAATACTTTTCGTACATATATGGGATGTATTTCCAGACCCCCGCCAAACCTCAAACACCGATAGAATTATAAATATTAATATCAAATCCCAAATTGTTATATGTATATCCCTTCGCCCAATATCCAATTTAATACCACTCAGTACTTCTCGTACAATTATAGTATACATTTCCGAAACCTCCTCCATATGTTCAGGCTATACAAGAAGAGCGACCTTAACACCAAATTTCAAACACTGTCTGTTACCCAATACCAGATTGTACTAAATACAGTACTATTTAGTAATTTTCGTGCACTTGTAGTGCACATATCCAAAACCACCTCCGTATCACAGACCTACCACCAAAAGGACCGCAATACAAAATTTCAGCTTCATTCGTCCATCCAAAACCAAACTGCACCGTTTAGTACAGTTCGCGCACTTGGTACACAATTCCAAAACCACCTTCATATATCAAATTACTATCCAACGATGATTCTCATACGAAATTTCAAGTTTTTAGCAATAGCCCTTCACATAACCAAATTATGCCATTTTTGAAGTTTAGTACCATTTTAGAACTTTTCGTAAACTTGAAGTTGAAATTTGCAAAAACCCTATGATACATTTTTCCTGCAATCCGTCAGTGGCTATCATTCCAAATTTCTAGCTTATTCCGTTTGTCCACTATAAAGTATTAAATATTTAGTACTTTTCGTATCCCTTTAATTACGAGTTTCCAAAAACTCAGCCTTTTAACACGCCTATGCACCAAGCCTGATCCTCGTGCAATATTTCAAGATTCCAGCTTCAGCCGCTTCGTTAATTTTCAGTAAGTCAGTTAATTTAACTACTCCTTGTGCAGCTATGGGTAAGGCTTGTTTTAATTAAAATCAACCTTATTTTTTGTAATAGTTTTGAATGGCATTTATTTTCAAAAAGACCTACATAATGGTCCACTACACTACGACAAATGCCGATGAACCCTTGTGGACGTGTGATAGAATAGTTTAAGGGCTTTAAAATCAAATAATTTATATTTGTCTCATAATACGTTTCTAATTCTATTCTAATCAATGATGCAAACAGGATCCTATATCTTCATTATTGACTTATTAGCGCATTTCGCCGTAGTTTAAGCGGCTCATCAGACAAATATCGTTTGAGCAGGTTATAAACAAATTTCCTTTGATTGGACAATATATGTGACTCATATGTGAAATTTCAAAAAGATAGGTCTACACTTCTTACTATCTTGTATTTTTATGCCTGTATAACGTAGTACATTTCATTGCCTAACTGTGGGCTTTATTGCAATTTTCCAATTATCTTTGCAGGGGAAAGGGTCAAAAGAATACAGCCTTCGAAACGCATTTAGCGTTAGCCTGTCCAGATTAAAATGGCTTAATGAACGTCATATTTAAAATCCCGATAACAAATTACCAATATTTATTAAAAACAATAATTGATCGAAGCTATTAGCCAACAAAAATACTTTGTTTAAAATTTTTGTGTTATATTCGTTTCTTTAAACCAAAAGTCAAACAAAATTAATTTTTAGAAGATCAAAGTTCACATTCTATGCAAATTTATTTAATTTATCATACCCCTTTAGAAGATTGAACAATATATAAATTTTTTGCAAAAAAGAGAAAAAAAAAAAAAGTAGGCAATAAGACAAAAACATCGACATTTTGCCAATTCAATTGAATGCATTCAACAATTAATCTGTGACGATATTTTTACAAACATACCCACATGTACATATCTTCGGTAAACAAATGTGGTGCCGTCTTCCTTCTCAACACAAAGTTGTTGTTTTTGATTGTTGAGGTATATAAATATAACAAAATATATACTATATTTACGGAGACAGAGCGGCGTAAACATCAATAAAGATTTTGCGTATTTGCGAAAAAGAGAATGTAGCTGCCACACACACACACAGATGTGTTTGTAAATATGTTTCTGTCGATTGTTTGTAATTTAATTATTTGTTGCAAAACAAACCAGCCATAATCTTATTGCAAATCTGCGGGCGGTGTCTTGTTGTCATAACATTCCGGGCGTAATCAGATTATTTGTTACTGGAATGGAGAGATGCATAACTTTATGCAATGCACAAAACAAAGTACGCACTAAATTAACATTTTTTGATTGTTGAGCACCAGCACCAGAAGAATTTAACTTACCATCTTAATTGGTATCCAAACATAACACCTTGACCACATTTATAAGTTCCGCACAAATATTTGGAAGTAGGTATTTCTTTTATTTAAAGCATTGGCATTATTTTTATAATTTTTTTTTTTGCGTAGCTGCTCTTCTTCTCCACTTTAAGTCGAGATGCTACCACAAATCTATCAATTACTTGTGTCAACTAACAAACAAACTACGGGGGGGTGAGAGGGGGGTCATCTACATATTATAGTATAAAATATTTTGACAGAAATAAAATGCATTATAGTCTAATTACTGGCTCTAAATCGAGTCTTTCTTCTCAAAACACATTGTTGCGTCATCCATCCATGATGCTGCTGCTGCTACTGCATTCGAATACATTGTTATTGCTCCTTCTGGTCGGGTCTTTATTCTTGGGAGTAGCGTTGCTTGATGGAACGATACTTCTTCAGTGAATACAAAGCTTCGACTTCTTTGGCCACATAACGGCCCTGGGCTAGCAGGGCTTTGATTTTATTTGGATCAGTCTCATCTTTGTTCTTTAGGAAAGCATCGCGCACTTGCTGGCGGAATTTCTGCGGGCCATTTACGCCGGATATTCACGTCCCAAAAATTGCAGCTGCAATGTGTCAAACATAAATAAACCACATGAAATCTCCAAAAATATGTAGGAAATTTGATTCCGTCTCATGACTCAC